GCCCTCCTCGCCTCAGAACCATACAACCCCCGGTGGGAGTCTGAAATAATTCGAAGAGTTATAAAAGATAAAACTTAGTTTAACAAATGTTTTCAACGTGGGTGAAAACAGTCCTTCTTCTCGGGCCCCGGGAAGGCTTCCCATCATAGAAGTGTGACAATGAGGGAGACCTTCAGTGGTCATTTGGGGAGATTCACGAATTTGGTTCTTAATGGAATCTTTTAGAAATACAGCTTCCAAGACCCCACCTCAAACCTAAAGAATTAGATTGTCTAGAGTGGAGGGATTAGGAATGTGAATCTTTCCAAAGCCTTCAGAGTGATCTGAAGATTAAGTAGACTCTGGGAACCATGATGCCATCAACCCTGTACCCAAAGGCAGGGTCACCTGATGGTGTTCTTGTGCAGACCCACTAGCTCACAGGCAGCCCTTCATGGAGAAGAGCATGGGTTGTAGGGATCTGATGGCAGAGACAGAGGGTAAGGGTATCTGTGGCTGCATTAGTAGCAGGAAGAACCTGGAATGGAAGGAGATGAGTTGGGAGGGGAAACCTGGGGCTTCATCATGGAGTGATCAAAGTGTGAAGCTCGAGAGTCTCCACGTTGCCCCTTGTGTGACGGAAGCCCTTGACAGGACCATGACCTCATGAGTGGAAGAAGCCTGCCCAAGCAGAATGGATTGGAGACCGGTGAGAACCATGCTGGGGGAATGGTGGGCAGCTTCATTTGAGAGTCAAGTGAGGAATAATAAGAACTCGGAGGAGAGGCAGTAGGAATGACAAAGAGAGGGAACGCGTGGCTGCATCCCAGGGCTGGCTCTTCAAAACGCCACTGACTGGGGGCAGAGAAAAGTCAGGTGGATTCTGGGGTTCTGAGGCCCCCGAGTGGCAAAACATTAACCAGAACAGTGACATTAAGATCAAGAGCAGATTGAGGAGGCAGAGGGCAAAGGAGGTTTCTGACATTTGATAATGTGTTTGTTTCTGTAACTTCCCACATCAGCCCCTCACCTGTCCCCTGGCAGAGCCGATGTAACTCTGTTATGCTCAGAGGTGGCACAAAGACCAGAGAAACGTTTGCTGAATGAAAAGCCACTGTCCATCATCCTCCCTGCTGTTTAGAGCCTCATTATTTCTCACTTACTGCAAGCCCAAGGACAGCCCTAGCTCATGCTGGGGTTTTGTGTGAATTAGAGCAAAGTGCCTCCTCTGGGCCTATGAATTAGGAAAGCCGTGGTCACCTGCAAGGATGCAGCCCTTTTCTTCAGGGCTTGGGAGGCAGAGCGCACCTGTGGGAAGAGAAAGGTGCTGCTTCCTGTAGGGGAAACCTCTCCTGCCGGGACCAAGGGCTGGGAGGGCTCAGCGGTGGGATTTTAGGTGCTCATTCCCTCGGCTGGCACGGAGAGCCCTGGGAGTCTCTCCCAGCTGGCTGCCTGGAACCAACCCTGCCATTTCCGTAGCACTTAGAGGATTTCCCCTTGGGAAATGCAGTCCTACTGTGTTTCCCCAGCTCCGTGAGATCAAGTCCAAAGTCCTTCACTGAGAACAAAAGTCCCTTCAGGACAGCTTCTCAGGGCCACCACTCTCCTTGACATCCTGCTCTCCAGTGCAGTTCCTGACGCCTCCGTACACAGCAAGGTTTGCCCAGACTGCATCTCCTGCCCCTGCCCGCTCCCTCCCAACCCCTCCCTCCCAGACTGGGCCTGGGTTTTCCAAGATTTACCTGGTTCACCTCAAGGGAGCTGCCCTGCCTTAATTCTAGTCTAGACTAGCACCTGCCCCTGTGCCCTGTCCCTCCTGCGGGGACACCTGGAACTCAGCACTTTCCAGGCTGTGGATCCTGCCTTCCTGTCTGTGACCTCAAGGATGGAGGATGTGTTTTCTTTACGCCTTTCCCCCAACATTGGGATGTGGGCACCAGGCTTAGTCTTGTTCAGTGGACAAATGATGCCTGGTGCAGATTTTACCAACCAATCAACAAACAAACAAAAACCCCCCAAATATCAAACAGAACAAAACAAGAAAAAGCAAAATGACAAAATCCCCCAAAGCAAAAAAGCCCCCCAAAAAGTTTTTGCTGTCTTTTGAACATGTGGTATTCTGTCTGTTGTCAAAGTTGTTTTTTTTAAAAAATAATTTTATTTTCCATACTTTTCTAGAGGCTTGAAATTATTATTCCCTTAAAAAGTCAATGATCAAATTATCACTTGGCTTATTTGACCTCCTGAGGCTTCATCCCAAGGCTAGTTTGTTCTGGTATATGTATTTGATCTTTTTGAGATGCTTTGAAATATTTGCCCAGAGATTCAGTAACATAGTTGGCCTCTGGGGTTGGAGTTGTGGCTCAGTGCTAGTGCGCTTGCCTCGCATGTGTGAGGAGCTGGGTTTGATCCTGAGTACCACATAGTGATAAATAAATAAAATAAAGGTAGTGTGTCCATCTACAACTAAATCATTATAATCATTTTTTAAATTTCAACTTTGTTTAAAAAAATAAAGAAAAGAAAATACCATTTTTAAGGTAGACGGCTCTGCCCATCTGCCTCAGACTGAAACCCATCAATAGTATCTCTGATGGCGGTTTCATGAGTGTGTTCAAATGCTAGACAGCTCCACGATGAATTCTGGAGTCTTTGCTGGAATTTCCAGTCCTGTTTCTAGTTTTTAAAATGTTTGTATTTTCTCTCTCCTTTCTCACAAGAATGCAAAAAATTGGAGAGAATGTGATTAAAAAGAAGAAGAAGAAGAAGAAGAAGAAGAGAGGAAAAGAAAAAGAAGCAGCTAAATGTACAGTGTCACATATCCAACAGCACTCACTCCAGTGAGCCACCAGGAGCCCAGGGGTGGAGAGGCTCAGCTGGCTGCGCTGGTCCAGCTGTTGCTCCAGTTGACTGCTTTCTTGAGAGAAGGAAATTCACTGTGTTACACAGCTGTCATTGTCTCTAAAGAAAACATGGCATTTGTCAGTTCTTCTTTGAGAAGGGACGATTGTGACAGTGAGAAGGGACGCTGCGGGCGGGGCACAGCTTTGGGTCCTGTACTGTTTGTTTGTTCATCATTTTGGCAGTCACTGGAAGACATTCTCTCTGCCGTTCGTCGCAAATAGTTTTTCCTACTTCTTTTGCATCTGGTCTCTAGTTTCTATTGGTATTTCAGGCTTTGTGGGGGGCGGTTGTGTCTTTTAATCATTTTTTGAAAAATAAATGAGTCAGTAGTTACTGATTCTAATGCTTGTTTGTAACTTAGCTATGATGCAAGACGTGGGCTTTGCACACTGATTTTCCTTTCGACTTTGGTCTTTGTACCCTGTATTTTGCACATACTTTGTTCACGGGGATAACTATTACAAAGCAGCTTAGATGGAAGTTGGTTTCTAGTTTGGGCCTGGCATCTTGATACAGTGACTTAGTTACCTATTTTTCAGCTAAAACCTTGAACTTCTGAAGACTGAAATGTTCTCCAAATAAATGCAAGGTATGATTATTGTAGTGAAGGTATTTAGTCATTTTAATTGATTCATACTGCAGTAAATTACTTTGCATTTCTTTTAAAAATTATTTGTTTTTTAGTTGTAGTTGGACCCAATACCTTTGTTTTATTTATTTATTTTTATGTGTTGCTGAGGATAGAACCCAGGGCCTTGCACGTACTAGGTGAGTGCTCTACCACTGAGCCACAATCTCAGCCCCTACTTTAAGTTTCTTGCAAACTGTCTCTCTTTTTAATATGCCTCATATCCATTTTTGGTAAAAATAAGTTACATATAACATATTTCCAATAACCAAAACTTACTCTCTCCCTTCTTTCTATAAATATCTGCTGGATACTCCATAGAGAGCTCAGAGGAACGTATTTTTCCATGGAAGGAAGGCAGAATTTGGCCTTAAATAGGTCCTGCCCAATATCCCTGAGTTGTCCAGTACAGCATTGGGCCCAAATTACATACTCAGCAAATATTTACCAATATGACATAATTTTATTGCTTATTTCATTTCACTGTTTACTTTAGCGATAAAGGCTAAGAGGAGTCTATTGCTAGGATATTTTTACTTTCCAAGTTCTGAGTCTAGCCATAGCCTAAAAAATGAAATAACCTTGAAGGGTAATTTGAATCTATACTTTTGTTCCCTCATGCAAAAATGACATATGGGAAATACAAAGTGGAGGGAGGGAAAAAACCCAGGATATGCTTCTGCTTCTTTTCTGGTATGCAAAAAATTAACTGTGTCTATTGAATTTGCCTGAAAGGACATAGTAAGAAAAAAAAAATGACAGGATCATCCAACACAGTATCTGACACCACATAGATGCTCAATAAATACTGACTTCTTTATTTTAATGTATTGGTCTCCTTAACTGAAGGGTCTTACTCCTTCATTTCTATATGATCCACCTTCCTATTTTCTTTGTTGTCTTTTTCATTTCAAGAATGTTCTGTGGGTGCTTTTTCTCTGAATCCCTAAAATGGGCTCAGTGTTCTGTTACATAATAGAGAGAAGTATCTTAGCCTAACATTTTCCTTAAGTCTTTCACATGATTTAAGACACCGCGAGGAAGGGATCTGTGAGCTCCTGTATCAATGGATGATGATCTTTATCTTTACCAAGTGACCCACAAATTGGTAACTAGTGCAATGAGAAATTAAGAAAATGGCACACTTCTATGACTGTCATTTCACAGTCACTCAAATCAGAACTGGAATGCCACAAAAACAGCTCCCTGTTAGCCCTGAGGAAAAAAAAAAAGAAAGAAAGAAAGTAAAGGGGAAATTCAGATTAGTCACAAAGAAGTTCCCCCGCCTGCTTGCAAAGTTGCAAAGTTAAAGCTGAGCGAGTCCGCTCTGCTCTTTCAATCGCCTTTCCTCTCTGGCCCCGGGACCGGGGTCTATCTTCTGAGTGACAGCTTTCTGTGGTCTTCTTCTCCTCCCTGGTGGGGAAGGCGCCAGTCTTCCCCCAGCTCCTCTTGGCCACATCTGCATCCTCCCTGCTTCCAGATTGTGGAGATGGAAGGGGTTCAACCCCTGGATGAGAATGTAGGAAACACACTACGGTCAAGATGCCAGAGGAACAAGCTATTGCTGGTGGCCTTTGTGGCCCAGGGGCTGGGGCTGTTCCTGTGCCTCACCTTCATCTGCCTGTACCGCCCTGCTCCTCAGGTAAGATGCGCCACCAGGCGTTTTTCCCCTTCGGCTCTGCTGGTGGCAGCTGCAGTAGCAGCAGTTACTTGGAAATAATCTGATGCCAAAATTGTTGTGTCCCCTCACCACCAAGTGATCGTAAGGTGTGGTCAGACACCCCCTGTCTCTCCTTTCCTTCCTTCCTTTTAGCGGTGGCAGGGGCAGGGCACAGTGGAGATGGGGCAGAGGCACCACTTCTAGGTTTTTTCCTTTCTCTGCAGTGCAAGGATCCTAGTCTTCCTGCATGAGCTGTCACTTTGAAGCTGAGTCACTGATTTCCACACTTGGTTTATCCATCCTGATAAAAATGTGTCTGATGAGGGAATTGATGTAAAAAGAAAGAAGAAAGAGACCAGTTCTACTTTTCTATCATAGTCATAAATTCTGCAGGCACTCAAACGATTTGCTTTTTAAAACATGCTGAAGGTATCCAGATTAAGTTCTTTTAAACAGCTGACCTTGCATTTTAAGGGCAGCAACGCATGCATGCATGTGTGTTTGCCTGTATGCCCACACATTCATCCCAAAGATCGGATCCAGGGTTGTTCCTCCCAGTCTGTCTCTGCCCGTCTACCTACGCTGTGCGGAGACATGGCTTCATCTTTTCCCACTTGGGGCAACACATCATGCAGTGGGGGTCCTCAGCATCCTCCTCACTTGACACCTTCTTCCATTTCCCCCGCTCTTTACTCTCATTCCATGCTCCCCTTGGGTCACATCATTTTTTTCTTATTTATTTATTCAGATATACAGATATTATTAGGTCTTCAAGAGTGTTCTTCATGGCAGGTGTGAAGCCTAGAGCCTCCCCAGCTTCCTTTGTGGGGCTGGTCTGACAATTCTTATTTCCCTGGGTGGTGGCTTTGGGTTGCGAAAGTCTTCCCGGTGAAGGGCAGGCAATAGGAATCTTTTCTTATCTATTTGGCTTATTAGTGCATTATAGTTATATGTGACAGTGAGGGACCTGCATGTTGATGGCCATGTCAGAGACTGGCTGCCACATTACAGCAGGACGAGTAGTCCCAGCAAATGCCCGGGCTTGTCTCTGCCCACAGGAAACGGGGATTTTCAGTGGTCGGTGGGAGCATGTGAGCCGATGACTGCTGAACCACAGGGAGGGCTCGTGACTTCAAATTCTAGAATTGGGGCTGGTGTGACACAGCCAGCACACCTGTTCTCCCCCCACCCCACCCCACCCCACATTCACTTCTCTGTGCACAGCCCTCGGGGTGAAATCAAAGTAGGTGCTCTGGGGAGAGAGTGTGTCCACGGCAGGGCACCCAAGACACAGACCGGAATCAGGCTCTTCTGAGAAGAAAGCAAACAGAGTAGCTAAAAATAGAACCGCCGAGTGCATTCACCAGGTCTGGGAGCCCCGCGTGCTTTTTAAACCACCGCAGAGCTGTGCGCTTCCTTACTCTGTGGCATGGGGAAGACAGGACGTGTGGCCCAGGCAAGGCTGGCCAGTTGTACCAGGGCTCTAGGCAGGGGACATCAAGGTGAAGCATACCTGTCTAGCCTGCTGGGTCTGGGGCCACCTGGAACTGTCAGCGCCCTGGGAACCCTGAGAAGAAGAGAGGCCCCTTTTACAAGCCACTCAGCAGCTCTGTGTCAGAACTGGGAAGCAGACTGACAGCTGGTTTCCAGGCCACTGGGTCTCAGGTGAGCAGCGGTGTGAGAGAAGTAGCTCCCGTAGTCCTGGGGTAGAAATGGAAGCAACTACGTAGGTGGTATGAGTTGTTTGCTCAAGAAACAGGATCCCATATATTCTGGATAGAGATTTTTTTTTACCCTTTTTTTCGCTCAGATATTTGAAATTCTTCACGTAACATTGACTTAAATTTCTTCTTCCATTTTTCTAGCTAGACTGTTTTAGTTAGTGTGATTTATTTTTATTTTATTTTTCAAAACTGTTAAAGGACCTGGAACGGCACAATGAGTTCTTACGTTTAATCTCATATACGTCGGCATGGGGAGGAGAGCGTAGACAGGTTGTGTGGGTTTTGCCTGGAACTTGTTGGAATAGTGTTGGTGGCAGCAGCAATGGCTGCTGGGGGCGGGGGGAAGGGGGGAGGAGAGAGAGAGAGAGAGAGTTGTAGAGTAGCCCTAAGAAAAGTGTTACAGACTGATAACCTTTTAAAGCCCCACATGGATGTCTGGCCTTCTGGCTGGGAGCCGGGTAGGTGGTGGTGGGATGCAGACCACACCTCTCTTTCCTGAGACACACTGCTCCAGGGGTGTGCCATGTGCATTGGAGGCCAACTGAGGCTGAAATGCTCCTCATTCACCCAGTTAAACTGGATCTCTTCTTCAATTGCAGGAGAAAAATATTTGGAAAACAATCGTACTTTCCCCCTGATTTCTTTTATTTGATTTTTAGCCTTAGAAAATCATTGCCTACATGCATGGCTCTGTAGAAATACAGACACAGCTTCTAACTCCACTTGGCAGTCACCCTCCCCTTCAATCAACTTTATTTAGCGATCCGTTTCTCATCTCTGGGTTAAATTTTATTTACACACATGAAAAGCAGAACTTGTTGTTTTTGAGATGCCGGAACAAAGATCCCTCTTGCCTTACCCACTCCTCACAGCTCACTTCCCTTTTGGGGCCTTGATCTTCTCACCTGTAGCAGAGGAAGTAGGGCTGGAAGATCAGTAAGACCTCTGTCAGCTCAATATCCTGAGTATGTTGATTACATTCATAGAATGGGCGTGAGAATTTGAGAAATACAAAGCTTGAGTTAACAGATTTTTGTGTCTGAGCTTAGAGATTTCCTGGCTCTTAGGAAGGGACTGGGGAAAATAAAATCAGCAGGAATACACTTTTCTACACTTAATTTATATTCCCTGTACTTATCTAAATAGCCTATTCTGAGTTAGCTAAATACCTGGTTTAGAAAGAAGAAATAAGTGAAGGCCCTAGAGGAAGACCCACAAGTTATAAAACTGAATGCTCTGTCACCAAAACAATCACACATTGGAGATCATACTGGGGCTGCCACTTAAAGGTCAGGCTTCTAGTCTTACCTGGAACTTCAGCTGGGGTCGGGGCAGAAAAAAAGCTGGCCTATGAGAAGCTTTGGTGAATTTTGTCTGAGTGTTCCAGGGATGATGTAGCTTGCCTCTTCAAATATTTGTCACTTTTCAAAGTTCATTTCAAGTGCAGGTACATTTAGTTATAATTCCTTAGCAAATTCCACTGTCAAAGGTCGACAGTCTTATCATTTGTTTCTGCTGGAGAAACAGAAGCAGAGGTTCTTGAACATAAGTCAGACAGTTCTGAATCAGTCAGAGTCAGAATTAAAATTCACAGTTTCTTAATGAAGTTTCAGGCTATAACTTCCACCTTTCTTTGTATCATTTAAGAAGAGAAGGAAGAATTTCCCTTAAAAACCGTGTCTCAGATTAGCTCAGTTTAAATAGCTGCATGTAATCTAACATTTTTTTTTTTAGAAAACCTTTTTTAGGACAGACATGTAAATGAAATAATTTCGAATGTAAATTTAATTTGCTCTTCATAAGCAGCTCTTTGAGAATTAAAAAAAAAAAACAAACCAAAAAACCCAGAAGTGGCAAGCTGATTCATCATAAAGTATTTTGAGATTCCTAAGGGAGGTATTAATGAAAAGGCACAGAATCATTAGCTATCTGAGCAGGTATTAGACATAGTCTATTTACAGATAAAACAAACAAACAAATAAACAAAAACAAACAAACAAACAAACAAACAAAAAAAAAACCCAGAAACCCAGAGAGGGTAGGTGAATTGATCATGATCACTAAACTAGTTAATTAACCCAAACTCCTCACTCCAGTGCTAGGGTTCCTCCTATTATTATTTAAGGTACCTTTTCTCAAACTCATCCCACCAACTGTTCACTTGTACCAGGTGCTGTTTGAGGCTTTGGAGACAAACTCATCGGAGAAGGTTTTTGAACTCTTTGACTGGATAGTTAAGATTCAAGTTGGGGCCAAGAGTGTCAGACATCTGGAGACATACTCAAGGGACAACTGGAAGAATAGGGGAGGGAGGAGGGACCCACCCAGGAACACTGGGGGTAGAGGATGCTTCAGCTGATGTTGGAAGGAGGAGCAGAAGTCCGCAGGTGAGAGGCACAGGGTGGGCAGGCAGGAGGCTGCAGGCTTTCTAGGCAGGAGCAGCAAGTTGCTGAGAATGGCCTACCCATTCGGAATCTCGTGAATCGCCCTAAGTGAACGCACTTTATTCTCTTCTATGCCAAAGAAAATGTAGGAACAATTACGAAAATCCTTGCTTCTCCAAATTTTGCTTCTTTCATGTGGTCCACTTACTGGCAAATATGGAAAGTGAGTCTGATGTCTTCTGGCACTAGGGGGCACCACAGTAAAACGAACCATCCTGCGTGTTAGGGCCGGCCTGCCTTCTCCTGGAATTGAGACGAAAACTGTTTTCTCAGGAAGTCAAGTGCTCATCTGTGTCGAGGAGGGTGAAAAACTCCAGGGGGACTAGTAGTGTTCACTGTTTACAAGGTGACGGTATTTTCTAAAATTTAGATGTTCTGACCCAAGTACTCAAAACAGGATGGAATCATTTGGATGGGGATTATGCTGGAGAGTGTCACAGGGGGACACACCACAGAGGAGAATTGGGAAGTGAGCAAAGAGGCTCTTGGTTCTGATCTAGGGATGTCATCTTCCTCTTCTCTGCTTTGACCTCACCCCTGGCTACTGGTACTGAGCAGACCCACCCTGCCAAGGGGCCGGCCCCTGTCCTTCCAGTTCTGTTTCTGTTAACTGCCTTGTGCCCTTCGCTGTCAGAGGGCCTGCAGCTTCCCCCCATTCGGGGACTCTTCATTTATGGAAAATGACCATTAATCCTTTGGAGTGTGTGGTTACAGTGTTGTTATTACTATTAAATGAGAGACAGAAGAACAAAGATGACCCAAACCTGAGTTGGGAAGGGGCAAGGTTATTTCCCCACAGTCACAGATGAAGCTC